GCGGATTACTAACCTGAAGGTCCGCGGTTCGAATCCGACCTCCGCCACTCGACTTCCCCTGTCTAGGCTTGGGCAACCTGGCAGTATCCCAGCCCTCGTGCTTCCTTCGGGTGGCATGGCAGCTAGGCACCGGGAGAGTGCTACAGCTGAACGCTTTCTTTCTTTCTTTCTGGTCCAATTATTCGGAACACAATTCCCAAGCCTTGGATAGGGCTGCAATGTGGATAGTTGCTGTGGCGACACAAACATATTACTGAAGACCTACTTTAGGATCCTGATTAAAGTTGACATGTTTGGGCATCGAATTCAAATAAATGTTATGGTGTTTGAATTTGGGTCCTTATTAACCTTCGTGAACCAGCCCTGGTCGAAAATGATACGCAGTTGCAAACAAAGCACCAGCTCCCAAAGAAAGACGATTAATGAAGTTAGCAACCCGAAAAGGTCACGTGACCAATCCTATTTACACTCACTTGATGACCCCAATATGAACGAAAGCCATGGCGTGACCGAGATCTCCAGGTTCCGATTACACCTAAACTATGGACGACTTACTGATTGTAAGGTATTCCTTGAGGATCAACGATTAATCAAATAATCTACACCACCATCTACCAGCATTCAGGTGGTTTTCTGAACAAGGCGGCAGCCGGTGAGAACAAGAATCACCCCAAAATTCACCCACACTAGATATGTAAACTTATCCGTGGACGAGTGTTCCAGAGTCACCTTATGCTTGCTTTATGAGTCCAAATAAAGGCAAAAACGGTCGTGTGATTGAGCTAACCGGGATCCGATCTTACTGGAATCAACTCACCAGCGCTGAATATTTTAAATCCTGTAAAATAACCGAAGCGGGCTTCAGATTCACTCCTGGTAAGTTGGTAAAACTTGTGTCAGATCAACGAAGTACACTCATTTGCAAACCAATTCGGTCTTGACGGGAGACTCACCTGGAACCCAGCTGAATCTATCATTTATGATGTTATTCAGCCATTTGAGTCCAAGCAGAATATAAGGTTGACGGAAACTCGGAGACTGAGCCTACCTGATTAACCCCAAAAAGGGCGAAACCGGTTGTGGGCAGTCGAAGAATTTTCAGCTACCTTATGAGTAGTATATTACGCCTATTTAAAGTTAAATCACTTCTCTGAAATTGGGGAACATTAAGAAAGAAATGTCTGTAGGTTTCCAATTAGGCGATCGCTGTGTCTAATTCGCTGGTTCATTTCGTCATTTGAATGGATGAGAGCGTCGATCGAATCGAAACGCTGGAAGGGGGGGGTAAATATTTCTGACAGGATTCCAAGCAACTGATTAAACAATAACAAGTGCTGGATGCAAGGATCATGCCCCAAAAGACCGGTAGATATCACCCATGTTTGAGGACCAGGAAATGTCTATCGTCATAGGTTAGCGATTTTTCTATTTCTATTTCACCCGTTCTCACATTTCCAAATCCGATGCCATTTTCTCCAGTCATGGACTCCTTACTCAACAAGAGATACGGCTCATTTGGTGTGCAACCCTGAAAATCAATTTCTGATTGTTCGGTAGGATTAAAAGGAAAACTCCCAGAGTTGTACCACGGCCATATGTTAAATTTCGGTCTGTGCTAACCTTGAAGCATCGCTGTCCCTTTGTTGATGAATTACTAGAGCAACGTTATCATGCAGCCCAATCGGATTCTACGAATTTCCTTCTGATACCTGTCACTCTTCAACAATAGAACCGAAATGATTATCTACTTAGTTCGCACGCATCATTCAGCACTTCCAGGAATTCCACATCCTTCTATCGATCAATACTTGGCTTCTCCACCACCATGTGATTGGTGACTCATGACGATGGGGTATGTTTGGCTTCGCCGATCATGTGATGAACTCGTAGGATAATATAGGTCAACAGCCCGCATGAAACTCCAACTGGAATCCGAAGAACCACACTCAAAGTGTCTACTCTGGAGTAAGTTCCGAGAATTCAGTTCTGTGGATATAAAAACAACGTAGATGAGTGTTGGAAACTGTAGTAACCGTATTTTCCGTCAGCTTAGTTCTCGGTCTGAGCCTCCCAAGCTAGCTTCACGTCAAAAACAACCACCAAAGGTGCACAAGGTCTGTTAATGCCCAAAACAAAGTCAAGAACATTAGCGAATATACACTCATTTGCAAACTGATTTGTCGATGGATTTTCAGCAACCTTATGAGTAGTACATTACAAACATATACGAGGTCAAGAACAGTTGTACAGCGCTTCGTATATATAGCATAAGCGGTTATAACCTTCTGGAAGTTCTGACGCGTTCTGGATGCGCCGTTGGCAACCGGCATTTGGCCATTACTGGGTCATGATTGGCTGTTGGGTCCAGATTGTTGACCAATCAGATCCCGTCTTGATGCCGGACCGGCAAGCGTCCCGAATTCTGAGCCAAGCTCGTGCGGGCCAGGCTTATCGTCCGTAGCCGCGCCTAAAGACGTGTGGTATAGCAGGATCCGTGTGGATTCCTGTCTAACAGAAACTAACAATATGGAATTTAGTCATACTATTTTATCGCTTACTGATAAGTACCACACCCTGGCCTCGTTTCACAGGAAGTTACTTGTTTCGTTCTGTGTTGTTATTGTGTCGTCTAGCCGCTAGTGTTTGCATTTCACGTTGACAGCTAACGAAAGCAACAGGAACGGTTACATCATCAGTGTTGCCTTCCTGGCGTTCCTGTTAGACTGATTAGGAAGTATTTCCTCCTGACGAACGTCTTCCCGCCTCCCACGAGGAAATTTCCCCCCTCCAGACCACTACCAGTCTGTTGCCCGCTTCCAGTTAAGGTGCCGAAATGCGATACCAGTCATAATTTGCCACAACTTACTAGTTATATCCAAAAATTTTCAAAAAATGCAGTGCCCAAAGTTTTCCACTTCATTGTAAACCTTAAATCGTGACAAGAAACGCGTGTGTATGACCGTAGTTTTATCGCAATGGAACGTTTAGGCCGCAAGCTGATGGTTTTTTATGACACGGCTTTCTGTTTTATACAACTTTCGATTGGCATCATCACTCTGTCACTCATACATAATTCAGTTAGTGTACAAGTTTACTTCATGGGTCCTATGGATTAAGTTTGGATTACCACTCTTTTGGTTTATTCGGTCACATGTTTACCGGTGGGACGAATGACCAGTAAAAGCTGTCACTAACTCATCCGGTTTCTGCTGTTGACGGGTACTTTTTGTTAACACAGTCGATCTTCATATTGATCACCTATGCAGCTGACGAGTAGAAACGGACGGATTACTTCCGGATGAACGGCATTCTCAGGGTCCCAATGTTCTAAACTAAGTTCGGACGGTCAATAAGCAGGTCTGCATGTGGCAAAATGCACTCATTTGCAAACAACTTTGGTTTTGACTGGAGACTCACTTGGAACCCAGCTGAATCTTTTACTCATGATGTTCTTAAGCAACTGAACGTGCTGTAGTAGGCCGTCTCATGTTTCAATTGGTACGGTATTCGAGACATCGTGATACATTGTACAGCATTACTCACAAGGCTACTGAAAACGGCTCGACAGCTAACAACTGGTTTCACCCTTCTTTGGGCTCATCAAGTAGACCCAAGCAGAATATAAGGTTGACAGGAACTCGGGGACAGCGCCTACCTGATGAGCCCCAAGAAAGGCGAAACCGGTCGTGGGATGTCGCAGTTTTTCAGCAAAGAATAACACATTGTCTGTACAAAGTCTCCTTGTAGTTTGACCGCTGTTTGCTTCCCATTTGATTCTTTCTAAAAAGGCAACCTTGATATTCTTCCCCATAAATCAATAAATGAATACTAACTGGACAGAATCGATGTAGAACTCTAGTGAGTATTTCAGCTGTTGCCAGCTGAAGTCGACCAGTACTAGTGCATATTGTAGCGTGTACTGTCCGAGTCACAGTCCTATAGGTCAGAGAACAATCACGAAATCTAGCATCTAAAAGAAGTACTCATTAAAAACTAAGTATCAATTTAAACACTTAAGATCCGCGATCGCCTTCGTCGCGTACTGCTAACACAAGATACGGATGACTCCGTTTTTGTGTTAACAAAACAAATGCTACGGTACTAGGGTTCGAAACCACCGTTTAGCAATGGAACATGAATAATCGGAATTCGCCGTTACAGCACAACAGTTGCGAGCGTGTGAGCGACCTTATGTCTGCTGATGTTTGATATCAGCCGACTTGTGTACGAGCTGTTCGGTCTACCTGCAAATGTTCGTTATTCAGGAAATGACCTACAACAGCCACACAAGGTTGTCCAATGACGATTGATTACACGTGGTCAACCGATGCTAGAAAATACTTGTTTGTGACTGGGATGACTGGATATTCGTTTTGAATGACTATAAAACGAAGCGTCAGAAAGAGTCACAGACCGGACTGTGGAAACCCGTGTTACTTATTGCAATCACGACAGACTGACGTTTGTTGAACTCTATTCGTCTTTATACGCTTCTAGCCTTATCAGTCAGAAAACGGCCATTAGAAAACGACGAGACAGTAAGAAGGAAGAATCAGTTTTGCATATAAACCTTTTGGGTTTGTTAGCATGACACGTTGAGCGGAATAGCAATTTTCATAACCGACCGCAGATGAGTCATGCTAGTGTTCAACAGGGCTTGCACACCGGTCAATAGTTCAATCGATCGTCACTCTCTGCTGGGCGTGATTGATCAACCGCTTCGTGGTTGACCTAAATACGCTCCAAAGATTAGGTGCATGGGAAGGAATACTGTCTCGTCTTCTCAGAGCAGCGGTCGTCTCACTCCACAGTAGACAACAATGTTGTGTGCCTGAAAGCAGATTCTGAATAGTGACGTTAATAGCATGCGGGTAAAGGTGAAAGTGGGAAGCAAGAAATATCCAAAATTTGCAAGCACATACAAAGTACGCGGAAAATTTATAAAACTATCGGCTTTTCCTCATTTTTTTACTTCCATTCAACTTAGGGTATCTGAAAAAAACATCCAAGTGTTTTGTTTTTGAACCAAATGATTAGTTTTGACAACAACCGCCACCCACAACCACCGACCCATCGCTACGTTCCACTGCGCTCCCTCGCACTGATGTGATGATGTCACCTCGATTGGTGATGAAACGTTTGCAATCCAATTGCTCATTTCAGCGAACAAACCAACGACCATCTACGCTAACTGAGCTACCAACATTTTCCTCCATAGTTTTGAGTTCATACTCACAGAACTCGTAAAC